ATCCAGACTGTGCACTGATCCTGTGGAAATACCAATATGTAATCATGAAATCAGGGTGAATCTAATGCATATCCACAAAAGGATTGAATCGTGGCTGCCAGGCAACTTTTATTCTGGCAGTTCCAAATTTTTGAATGTCTTTTTACATAGTTTTTTGTGTGTAATTTCATATTAACAACTACCAGGGTGTTTGTTTTTATTAAGGATAATGCATTGACATCACATACTATGTCCCTACATTAATCAGCTTCCATTAGGACAAACTGTTGTTGTTCTGTGTTTTCCTGGCAAAACTAAAAGAAAATTAATGAGAAGGAAATAATTTTCACTGTGGATAGTCTTAATGGTTTCACATTATTAATCTACTAAAAGCACTTGTAAAAATGTTCTGTAAAAATTGCAGCTTACTGACACATTATTGCATGGATGTTAAAAGTTACTTCAGGAAACTGTTTTGATTAATATAGCAAGATATTAGAGCAAGAAGCCAACTATGAACAGCAGGTCTGCCCCTAGGGAGGTGTGGTCATAACCACTTACGTTGTGCTGGAACCCTGATATTTACAATGAACATAAGTTCCATTAAAAAGATGTGAGCAGGAAGACTAGCACTGACCAATCTGTAGTTTAGGTTTGTCAGTCAGTAACATGAAGACAAGTCAGTTTTAAACAAGTAGAAATAAAGAACATGAATCTCCGAAATCAGGTGACAGAAGCCATAAACAAACACTCTGATGGGTATTGGTCGTCCTTTTGAAAATATTTTTTTCTCACTCTGAAGTTAAGAATCACCCTTTGGAAACTTGCTAGGCTCAACCCCCTGGATTGTTTTGGCAGGCCAGGCAGCACTGCTCTGAGCTGTTCTCTCCTTGATGTGCTCAGGCTTCTCCCCCAAAGGAGCCCAGTACTGGCTGGGCCATGTCCCTTGGAGCCAGCTGCTGCTCTGGCCCCCATGACTCCACGGCTGCTCTGCAGTGGTGAGCAAGAGCCTCGGGGAACATCTCAGGGCAGTGGGGCTCTCTGCAAAGAGGGGTTGGCTCTAAGGCATCACTGGCCAGCACTAGGCCTCTTCGGGGCAGAGGCAAGAGTGCATGAAGGGCACAGCTCAGAATGGTGCCACTTTGCCCCTGGCTGGGGAGCACCCAGTCATGCAGAGGGGTTCCATCTTGGGGAGCAGGACAGGTGCTAAAATGCTTAATGACAGCTCTGGCTAGATATATGGTCTCAATTTAGGCCTCAGTGCATACAAATTGGTTCTTGTTGCAAGCTAAGCATGTGACTTTTCATTACTTTTCATAAAGTATTTACTTTAGAAACACTCAGCATTTAAATATTTGTTTGGAATACGAAAAGATGTTAACTCAAAACTGTGGATCTACAGTAAAAACCAAGCCAGCCATTCCCAGCATTCTTCACTTAACATTACTTTAGTGCACACATTTTTTAAAAAAAACTCCTTCATTATACTGCAGAGATGCGACGGCCACGGCTGAATTACAGCTAGCATAGAAAAGGTATTGATCATCTTCCTCCACTTCCTTCCCCCACAGGCTGTGTGTAATGGTATGAGGAAATTGGACCTCCGTGGACCTCTGCAAGACATGACTTTCTCTGTTCAAGAAGGGACAACTGGAGTCCGTGTAATATACGAGGTAATCATTAACTCTGTGTGTTAGCTCTTTGTTCAAAAGATCCATCCTGTGCTCATGATCTCAATGAGAATTTTGCTGTTGATTTCAACAGCAGTAGCAGTCCCAAGATATGTTATGATAGAAACTTTGACTCTCATTACCTGATAATGTAGTGTCTAATGATAAAATGCAACGCATCAGTCTCTATCAAATAAGCTACCTGATGATAAATCTAAAATGGCTGTTGCTATAATCAGCATCCCTAGAGTATGAACTTAAGAAATTGCACTCAGTTTGTGTCCATTCCATTCAACAAAGGTATAATAAGACCGAATGGCTGAAAATGAAAGCTAGAAAAATTCAGGCTGGAAATAACACACTTTTAACAGTGAGTGTAATTAACCATGGAACGATGGGTTGTGGTAAATTCAAAATTATTTGGTTTTGAAAAAGATATGCTCTAGTGCAGGATTAGGCAATAATTTTTGGTGGGGGGGGCCACCCCATGATTTTGGAAAGTGGTCAAGGGCCACACTTTTCTGTGGAGGAGGTATGGGGTTTAGGTGGAGGTTGGGTGCAGAAGGGAGCACAGGGTAAGGGACTGGGGTGTAGGAGATGGTGTGAGGTCTGAAAGGAAGTTTAGGTGAAGGAGGGGGTTGTGACCTGCCTCAGGGGATTGGGTTATAGGGTCAGGGAGGGAGTATGGGTGCAGGAGAGGATTCTGGCCTAGGGGTGGGTCTCTAGGAGGAGGTACAAAGTCTGGGAGGGAATTGTGACCTGGGAGGAAGGGGAAAAGGGGTGCAGATTGCAGAGGATTTGGGTGGTGACCTGGGGCAGGGGAATGGGGTGTTTGGGTGCAGGAGAGGATTCAGGGCTGGGGGATGAGTGTAAGAGAGAGTACAGGGCCTGGGAGGGAGTTGTGACCTGGGGCAGGGGGGTACAGAGGGTTTGAATGGTGATCTTGGGGAGGGAGTTGGGAGGTAGAAGGGGCTGGGGAACCATAGGCAGGCTCTGACTAGGAGGCACTTACCTTAGTGTCTCCTGGCCAGCAGCCCTGCAGTACCCAAGGCAGAATGGGCTCCCAGCCTGCTGCAGCCCCAGATCACTTTAAACTGCAGGTTTGTTACCTCCATGTAGCTCTCAGCTCTAGGAAGGGAA